CTGTGATTCCATATGGTTCAGATAAGTGATGCGGTCGTCATTTCCAAAAGCATTTCAAAACTTTTATCAACACTTACATTCGTCCGATGCAGAAGATCAGAAGACCAGAAAGGATAAGCAATAAGAAAAACTCTGAAAACGAACCAATTAACAGCCAACCACCCAACAAATATGGGGAACAAGATGGGTATGGACTGGACATACGCTAAGGGGATCGTTGGGCGATGTCGCAAGCCAGACAGGCTCTCCAGTGGGAAATGACGAGGTGAGTGCTGCATCGAGAGCGAGGCGGAAGCGAGCAGCTTAGGAAGACTATAGAGGACAAAGTGAAATAGCAGTGTGCTACTGAAATCGTACGTTCCACTCAGAACCCAAAGGACTAAGAAGAAGAAGAAACAAGAAAGTGAAATATCTCATTGTCGAGGGGAATAACGGTTAACGATTGGCTTAGTTTCGATGAAGGAGTTTAAATTACTTAAACGGGATTAGTGAATACCGGAATCGTGAACAGTACACATTAACAACTTTGTGAGACGTTGGACCAATGTTCATCATGTTTTGTGTGACCCCGACCGAAAGCTGCTACCTTGACGTGGTGGTCGGGCTTGAACACCGCAATGACCTAATCAAGCTATACTGGCTGAGACTTATGTCTCTTGAGGTTCTACCATGCCAGGCAGGTTGTTTGGATAGCGGTTAAACAAAAAGCAGCTACCTCATCCAATACCATGATCCAAACAAATTCACAAAATTTCATGCCGGATCGGCCGTGGCCCGGATTAACAACGACCGCGCTTCCTGCTGCCGTGTCACAGGGCGGGAGTGATAAGTATGCTACTGAGGCACACAAAACAACAAAGAACGAACAAAAACAGGCCGCGTGTGACCGGCCACAAGCAGTTGTCCCCTGGGCTCTGCGGTCACGCAACCAACTTCCACGGTGTGGGCAGCCGGGAAGTAACAATCGCCCTCACAATCCAAAACGCACACAAAACCTCTCTAATCCTCACTTATCTTTGTCTTCATCTTCATCTCTATTACCTTGCCTTCCCCCAGTGATGCAACTCCTCTACTTGATGGCTCCTCACTCCCTCTTCACTCTGTGTCCACTAAAAACGACGAAAGCCAAAAAACCACCACGGATAGTCTCCTAAAGCCACGCCACCAATTTCATATAGGAGCATTTAATGTTAGGACACTTTGCCAAATAGGACAACAAGCATCACTAGCTAAGACCCTGGCATCTCGAGCCATTGATGTATGTTGTGTTTCAGAAACACGCATACAAGACCCAAGTGTGGTTATTCACCTAACCCCACCTGGCCAACAGGATGAATCTTCAAAATTCACCTTGAGGGTGTCAGGAGATGCCACAGCTAGTTCACGAGGATTAGCTGGCGTAGGGATAGCTCTGAGTACTAGGGCAGAAAAGACATTGCTTGACTGGATCCCGTAGATAGCCGAATGTGTGCTGTCCGTCTGAACGGATCAGTAAGAAGGAGAAAGGACTGCACTACTCGCCGATGCCTTTTCGTAATCTCCGCCTACGCCCCCACTGACTGCAGTTCGGATGAAACGAAGGATGAGTTCTACCAAAAGCTGTCTAGTTTGGTGAGAAAGGCTAAACGCTCAGATATAGTCGTTCTAGCTGGTGACTTTAACGCTCAAGTAGGGAAATTGTGTCAATCTGAGAAGGATGTCGGTGGCACCTATGGAGTTCCGTGCCAGCGAACCGACAACGGTGACCGTCTCCTACAGTTCTGTTCAGATAATCATTTGTTTCTTGTAAGCACTAACTTTAAACACAAGGAGAGACACTGTTTAACCTGGCGACCCCCATCATCAAACCAACGCTGGACACAAATAGACCACATAGCAATAAGCTATCGTTGGCGTGGGTCGGTAGGAGATTGTCGCTCCTTCTGGAACACGTGTGTAGATACCGATCACGCACTGGTCCGGGCTCGTGTGTGCTTACGACTGAACGGACGTAGGAAACAGCTGGCGGTAAAACCATCACGTCCCCAGCTCGATCAGGAAACTAAATCCCTATTTGAGGAAGAACTAGCTAAACGCATATCTGAATTCGACAGCTGTGCTCACCCTGGAGAAGCCTGGAAGAATATTCAGTCAGCTATAGATACAGCTGTAAAAGCTGTGAATAAGGCAAATCCAAAGGTGAGTAAAAACCACTGGATTTCGACTGCCTCATCCGAACTGATAGATGCTAGAAGACTTATTCCGGCGAGCTCCGAATTCAATGAGGAGCGAAAGCTGCACAAAAGGAAACTTACTAAAAGTCTCCGCAAGGACCGTGAACAGTGGTGGGTGACAAAGGCGAAAGAGATGGAAAAAGCATTGGCGATAGGCAACACTAGGCAACTCTTTAGACTCATCACAGAATCGGGCGGGAGAAGGCAATTCATAAGTGAGACTATTTCTGAGAAAAATGGCTCCTTAATTAGCTCTCAGGATAGACGCCTTGAACGCTGGAAAGAACACTTTGAGGAACAATTTAACTTGCCTACAGCCACACTGAACCTCCCCGCCATCCACCACGTACCCGAATGGGATATAGACACTGGTCCGCCGTCTGTAGGTGAGGTTACAAAAGCTATCAGTAATTTGAAACGAGGCAAAGCGGCAGGACCCGACGGAATTATTCCGGAGGTGTTTAAATATGGGGGTGACATACTAGTTTGTAGATTAACTGAGGTACTAGGCAAAGTCTGGGAATCAGAGACAGTACCATCAGACTGGGGTAAGTCACTTATTATACCGATATTCAAGAAGGGAAACAAGTCCTCGTGTGATAATCATAGGGGGATCAGCCTAACGAACATAGTCTCTAAAATCCTAGGCTCAGTAATCATGCATAGACTAAGCAGAACTCGGGAGGAACAGACAAGGGAAAATCAAGCAGGCTTTAGACCAGGTAGAGGGTGCATAGATCATATCTTCACTCTTCGACAGATTCTAGAACATAGACACACTTTTCGGCGTCCAACAATTGTCATATTTCTTGACTTGAAGGCGGCCTTCGACTCCGTGGATCGAAAGGTACTATGGCAATGTCTGACTGTGAAGGGAGTGCCAAGAAAGTACATTGCACTAATCAAGGCACTCTATTCAAACTCACGTAGTCGTGTAAGGGCTTATGGGGAATTGTCATCTGAATTGGTAACAACCAGTGGTGTCCGACAGGGATGTCCACTTTCCCCATTTCTGTTTAACTTCATCATAGATATGCTAATGGAAGTATCCTTAACTGAACGTAGTGACTTAGGAATCGACTTGTTACCAGGGAATAATCTTATGGACTTAGAATATGCAGATGACATAGTCCTGTTAGGGGAGGATGCTGACAAAATGCAGAGTCTTCTGAACACCTTGAGCAGCAATCTTCGTATGTTTGGCATGCGATTCGCCCCTGCAAAATGTAAGATGCTGCTACAGGACTGGACCACGTCAACCCCTAACTTAGTGATAGGGAGTGAAGTGATAGAACATGTTGACCACTTCACCTACTTGGGAAGTTGTATTAGCACCAACGGACTGATTGGCGATGAAATCTCAGCACGGATCCGAAAAGCTCGAGCTGCTTTCGCTGACTTACACCATCTCTGGCGTAGGCGTGACATCCGGTTATCAACCAAGGGACGTGTGTACTGCTCATCAGTTCGCTCCGTCCTTCTCTATGGCTCTGAAACATGGCCAATACGCGTTGAAGACATGAAAAGGTTGACTGCTTTCGATCATAGATGTCTGCGATCTCTGTCTCACGTTAGGTGGTTTCACAAGATAAGTAATGTTGACGTTAGGCGTAGAGTGTTGGGCAAAGAGGGAAAATCAATCGACGAGGCTATAAAGTTACATAGACTAAGATGGCTAGGTCACGTGGTGCGCATGCCTAACCACCGCCTCCCCCGACGGGCATTGCTAGCTGATATAGGTTCAGGTTGGAAAAGAGCCAGTGGTGGCCAAACAAAAACATGGCATCAATCCATGAAATCCTTGACAGTTAAACTGAGTCAGGTAGGGAGATGCAGACTCCCGGGTTGGGGCCCTCGGGACTCTAGGAATCAATGGCTGGAGACAATAGGTGACATGGCTCAAAATCGTTGTCAATGGCGCAGATGTATTCAGTCTCTGTAATCTTTCATATTCCTTTCTACCATTACCCATTCTGTTTCACTCTTATACTTGTCAAACTCTATTAATTCTCTTCACTCATCTTCTTGTCTACCTCTGTGTGCTATTTGGAACGTGGCAACTCGAACTGCTGCACTTCGGTGCCAAGTTCTATGTTGAATCCAGACAGAGAGACAGACAGATGTTTTGTGACCACTACCTTACTGTTCAGCTGCTGAGATGAAATTTAACCGTCAACATTATCTCATATAGGTAACCACAATAGTCTGTGATAAGTATCCATACGTGTCTGAACATTCGGTGGCCTCAGAACAGTTCTCGATGAAAGCTGATTAGGCATCACAAACTGGAAATATGGAAGTGTTACTCAGTAACCACTCGCGTTTGAATCGAATTGGTGATGAGCCATATTTATTGCTACAGCTAATGATACTACCTGGCTGCCCAAATGCAGCGAAGGGTAAGGTCCGAACCCATGAATCAGCGGTTACAAGTCGAGCGCCTAAACTTACCAATCACAGCTCCACATGTCTCAAACTAGGATTTAGCAGGTACTTATTACTTTCTTATGTTTTCCTACCCCATATCGACCTATAACGAAATCGATTTTCAAATAATCATTTAGATAAATAAAAAATAACTTTCTTAAAGTGACAAGTTATCAGGCTATTTATTTACTGCATTGGACAGTGATCATTTTAAAAATTATAAAGATTCAAGCATTTTTCAAACGCTCATTTTGAGTAAAGATTAATGAAGCCCATAAAATATATGTTTGGTTCTAAACATTATCAGTCATAAAGTTTATAATTTAAAAAAAGAAACAGCCACCAATACTAATAACTTACCACAACAAGATCAGATGGTTCCAGGACAAGACAGTCATTACGACGATAAAAATTTCCATTGGTACGAGTTCCAAAACTATAAAATTAAAGAAAAATTAAGAGATTAGCGTGTAAATAATTGACACTGAATGAGTGCCTGACCGGATTTTCAACGGAGAACTTTGAACACAAGTGCAACAGTTCAACTTACTATACTCCATACAGCACAAAAATGATTGAGAACAACATTCAAAGGAACTGTAATAGTGAGGAAGAACAATTACATAAAGGAAGATGAGGATTTAATGAATCTGAGATAAAAGTTTTTTTTAATTTTTTATCTAAACGCAAAAAATACTTGGTACAATATGACACCAAGAAAGATGCGCCGCACAATAATCATAAAACAACATAGATTAAAAGTAAAAAAAATATAAGTAGAGAACGGATAAAGAACTTCGTCTGGAAGGAAAACAGTTACGCTTAACAAGTTCAAACAGTTTTTGTTAACTATCATCGAGAAGGGAAGAAACAAGGAAATTGCAACACGTTCGCCATTGATGATTACGATGCTTGGCTACGTCCAATAACGTTTCGAGCTATCTCGCGGACCCCAACCAGGGAGTCGTGACGCACCGACCAATGCTAATCTAGCACACAAACATCCTTCATCCCACGACGCCACGTCATGGACTGACCACCCCTCCGCCTTTTCCATCTCGTCCCAGGGCTGGCTAGCGATCAGAGACCTGTACGGAAGCCTCCTCTGGGATGACATTCGGAGCACATGTCCAAGCCACCGAAGCCGGTGTTTCCAGATGACGACACTCAATGAATGTTGATCTCCACTGTGTTCAAACACACGCCGCTGATCCTCAGAATTACTTACGCGATGATGCCATCCATCGAACGCAAGCAATCCTGCGGAGATAGTGATGATCGAACACGCAGAGTCGCCGCCGCACATCCTCAGCCTACTTGGAGAGGCTAGGTTTCACAGGCGTAGAGCAGGGCGGCTTGGGCCGAAGCATTGTATACTCGACCTTTGACAGCCAGGCTAACATCGCGACGGCGCTAGAGGGGTGGCTCAAGTTGATGTATGCGCCACCCTAGCCTTCATTATACGGTTGGAAATCTCATCCGTCACCCCTCCGCCAGCACTCACACAACTACCCAGATACACAAATTTATCAAAAACTTCAAGGGGTTCACCCGCAAGAGTGAGTGCAGGTACAGGCTCCTGCCAATTTTGTAACAGTCCTTTGCACTTAGACGGCGCAAAGTACATACCATCTGAGCCATTGGGGAAGATTTCATACATACCATTAAAAAAGAGTGGCTGCATATCAGCCACTGAGAAGCATAGCGATCGACATCACTAACAGTCTCAAACCCTTAGTTCTCAGAGTCTTCAGGACCCTAGCCCTTCAATCTACACCTCTCTACATGGCTCAAAACAACAGCCAAAGACTATGTGGATTAATGTTAAGTTTTTATTGGACCACTTGTAACTCTTTTCTAACCTAATCAAATATCGGTTAACATAGCTCGAGGAGGAGGGTATATGTAGCACGTGTCTTAACCATCTCAACCGATGTAGCTTCACAACCTAACACTCTACGGCTAACGCGGAGTCTACTCACCACCATATTAAACCAATTAACACAGGAGATACAACGTATGCACCTACGGTAAAATGCAGCCAGTTTCTTCAAGTCTTCCATTTTCAACCGCCGCATTCCACAACCGTAGAGAAAAATAGAAACTACTGATGCGCAGTACACACACATCTTTAATCGGTAGTGCAAATAGACACAGTTAAGTATTTCAATTGACACTGAATTCAGCCAAAACAACTGGAAATCTTTTAAGTATTTAAACACCGAGAAAAATTCACAAACAACAGCACAGAAGAGTACAGCAGTTTAAGATGCCACACACACACACGCACTCCATGTCTGCCTGTCTGTTTTCGACATAGAACTTTGCACCGATATGCAGCAGTTTAAGTCGCCACACTCCCTTCCATGTAGTACACAAAGCAAGAGAAGAAAGTAGAAGAAATGCATAATAGAGACAGTAAACAGAGGTGTGACACAAAGGAATAGTAATAACAAAGAATAATAGAGTTTCATTGGAAATCATAAGTCATGAGGAGTGGAGGCATCTGAGCCAGCCATTGAGAACGACAATTTTGAGCCATATCACCAATTGTTTTGAACCATTGGTTTTTATCATCCCGAGGACCTCAACCAGATTGGCAGTTTACACCTTCCTATGTGACTGGTTTAAACTAACTCTTGTGGGTTTCATTGACTGGAGCCATGTTTTGGTTTGGCCGCCGCCAGCTAGCTCTTTTCCAGCCTGACCAAATGTCAACTAACATTGCCCGTCGGTCGAGGAAGGCGATGACTAGGCATACGTAACACATGTCCTAATCATCTCAGTCGATGTAATTTCACAGCCTCGTCGACTGATTTCCCCTCCCACCTACCTAGCACTCGACCAACGCCTAACCTCAATATTGCTCACCTTATTATACCACCACCAAACACGGGAGATAGAGCGCAGGCACCTATGATCAAACACAGCTAATCTTTTCATGTCTTCGACTCCATGTAGTACAAAAAAGGATAGATGAACAGGTATTGATTTTCTAAAGTAGTCTATCCTAATAGAAGAAATGAAACTGTTAAAAAAGTTAACAGGTTTCGATTTCTTCAGGTTACTATTTTTTTTCAACTTACCATGCACGAGGTAAAAACATTGAGCTCTCGATAAGCACTGACCCACTGATTAGAATAAACCAGGCATCACACCATTCACCAATATGATATAACAACACATCACCAGGGACACGACGATAACGTGCATACCGACTAATTGAACGTAATTCAGCATCTCGATAAGCTGATGATGGACTGGGAATATTTAGACCTTCTATGGTACGAAGATAACTAAAAATAGCAGCATTTTCCTGAGTTGTTGTTTTGATTAGGAAAAACAAACAAAATGGAACAAAAAAAACATTGATTAGTAACCTTGATAAGGATGCATAACAGAAATGCTCATAATTTAGGAGTTTACTACCACTGTCTGTCTTTTTGAATGCGTTTAACAGATCTTAGTAGTAAAATACTAGAAAACAGAAGGATAGGCTCCTAATTAATACATTGAAGGCTTACATTGATGTGGCCAATTGGCTTAAACACTCAACTTTCAGATGGTGGGTGGTGGTGGTGAGTTCGAAACCCGTTATCCCTGCTTTAGCCACGCAGGTCAACCATGCAGTAGCATCACGCCTCACATATTTGAAGTGGCTCATAGTCTAGTTGTTATATCAAATATAGCAAAAATATTCATTTGGACATGTCTATAAAACACAAAATAATTGAGTAAAGAATATCCTTTTCGATAAATTCCTCCTCTCCTGGCTCTACAATTATATATATATATGTTCATATACATAGAATATTCTAGAATAGTAGTCAATAACAATATTAGTGTTTTTTAAATAATATCGACTTATTAAGTCAGATCACAATGGGATTACAGTTCATTAAAGATGCTTAAATAATAATAATAATAATAATAAAGATATAGTAGCAAATAGAATGTCAACTAAAATTAGGAAAATTCCACAAACATTCAGGATCATTCAAACCTAGATGGCCAAGGTAGGGATAATATCTGAGCAAACTTCTTTTGGATGCACAAATTAGGCTTGTTAATATGGATCCCAACAGTCAACCAACCTCAGCAATATTTAGTAGTCGAACTCTTAAGGCAAAATTGAGATTCTTAGGTATGCGGTAAATGACCTTGAAAAGCATGGTTAACGTCAATCTTGTGTTCTGTATCCACAAGATGAGATAGAATAGGGCTGCGAATAGATTTTGTTTGTCCTTTGCTTAACCAACCACTATGCAGGGTGATGCTCGGAAATTCGACGAGAAACACGCCTAATTATGCGGCTTATGCAACTAACTGGCTCACTCCACAGGAGCAGTTAAATTGGTAGATACACACATATGGAATACGCGAAATTAGGCAGTCTACCTTTTACTCCCGAAAGCAAAAGAGGAGTGGTTTTGAAGACACAGCGTAATTCGGCAGTTGGGAATACTCTTTTCACCACCTTATTTCTAAGGCGCTGTGTTAGTATCTCGCTGTTATCCCCAAGGAACTGCATTTGTAAGAATAAGGCCTTCCTTTTTAGGAGCCGTTGGTAACTTGGGCTGCTTTGATTTCAGATACAGATTCTTGTCAATAAACTTTTCTGGATAATCCTGAGCTAATGAAATATTCTAGTACTTAGACTGTTTCTACTTCTAATATAATGACTTCGCCTGGTTGTTGGGTTTTGAAGCAGGGTAATTCTAGTGCACTATGTCAGCCTTGCAGTACCTATCAACACATAGGAATGCATAGCAGACATTCAGAGGTGTATTGGATGCTCCAAAATATCATAGTATAATTTTTTTTATCAAGAACTGAAGTCAGGCAACTGTTGAAAATCCTGGCAGCACTTGGCCAGCTGTTTCATTCTATTTATCGATTTTTCAACAAGGCGAAGCTACGATCGATCCAATGAATGATAAAACCCAGGACCTTTAACTCTTGAAACCAATATGTGTCACCATTCATTCAGCTGATGAATTTGAATTCAATGACGCATGAATTCTAACTCCTACTTAATCCATTATACCAAGCCAACCTGATCCTCTTTCATCTATGAGTAACATTCCTTACATATCACGGCATATACACATTTGATCATAGGGAATAAAAAGGCAAATGCAGCGAAGAAAATTTCCTTTGCGATGAAATCATCAACTAGGCTGTACATTCGTGCATTTATAATAAATGGGTAAGAAAGATCCAGAATAATTCTGGTCAAGTGTCAGATTAATAGAATTACAATGAATTAAAATGCCATAACAAACAGGGGGACGAATAAATCTCAGACAAAGTAGCATCATAATTACTGAGAAGATTGACATATTGTGCAATTAGGGGCGTCGGTGGCACAGTGGTTAGGACTCGCCGACCATGCACATGGTCCGGGGTTCCATCCCCAGCCAACGCACACCCGATATCTGTGGTCGGCCTGCAAAATTTGGGCTATCGATATCATATGCTGAAAATTTCACACTTGTACCGAAAACACGGTGTGGCATCAAGCTGTAATCCAAAAAATAATAAAATAGAAATGTAGATAGAACAGCAATATATAGGATGTTTGGATAAAAACAACCTAATGGGACGAATAATTGTTTGTGTAATCAGGGATTAGATATGCAGAAATAATAAAATGACGGAAGAGACAGGAAGTTCGGATATGAAAATATGGTACTGTTAATAGTGGAGGGATTAAGAAAGACTTAAAAATAACATGAATAAACAGGAAGTTTGGATAAGAAAGTCAATGAGATAGTCACTATTAGAAGAATTACCTAATTATTTCTGCATATTGAATTCCTGATTGCACAAACAATTATTCGTCCCATTAGTTACGATCCCGCTAGGTTTTTTATCCAAACATCCTATCTATTTTGTTATTTCTACATTTCTAACCCCTAATTGCACAATATGTCAATCTTCTCAGTAATTATGATGCTACTTTGTCTGAGCTTTATTCGTCCCCCTGTTTGTTATGGCATTTTAATTCATTGTAATTCTATTAATCTGACACTTGACCAGAGATTATTCTGGAACTTTCCATCTATTTATTATAAATACACGAATGTGACTTCGTCGAATAGAAAATTTTCTTCGCTGCAATTGTCTTTTTATGCCTTACATATCTCAAGTGAATCACTAAAAAACTTCAACACTACATTTAACCATAAATACACAAATGATATAGCCATGCAAGCTAAGCATACTTGTTGTGATCTTTGATTAGGAGGGATAGCCAAAGTACGAATGAAAGCTGCATCTTCGTCATCCATAATGACCTAAATTGTGCGATAAGAAAAGAAAGTTAGAGAATTTTCTACAGTAAAATATAAGCGTAAAAAGGCATAATTGCCATAATTGGTTCATGTATGGTATTATCACATTATCAAAGTGTGAACACAATTATGAAGTTATTTTTGTAGACGGTAGATAATGTCGAAGGAGCAGTAAAGACAGGACTCCAGGTGAACAAGACGGAGGTTATGAAAATAACCAACCAACCAACAACAACCACAGCAGAAACATCCAGTGCCAATCGCCATCAACGGGAGGGATTTGAAAGAGGTTACTTCATTCATTCACTTATCTAGGGAGCAGTGTCTCAACTAATGGAAGTCGGAACGGACGAGGATGTCAAATAGAGCGAGAATCGGGAAGGCGAGAAACACATTCATCAGCCAGAAACCAATCTGGAAATCTTCGTCACTCAGCCAGCATCAACAACAAAATTCGGTTGGATTTTCAATACAAAAAACGTCAAGTCATTTCTTCAATACGGATCAGAAACTTGTCGGGCGGGTCACAAAGAATATTTCCACCAACAGCCTGTTGCATGCAGACCTTTATCAAGCAACAACTGTCATCGCTCTATACTGAAGGTCAGATGGCGGGCCGGAAAGAATCACCAACCATTGGAAACTATGGGAACAAAAACAAGAACCAATCGGCCAACCAACAAATATGCAGGAGAAAGTAGAGATGGTTTGGATACTACTCGCTGAGGAGGCCGGGCCACTGGGTGACACCGCGCGCGTCAGGCCATTTCTTGAGTGGAACCCGAAAGGAAAGTGGCGAGTGGGATGTCCAATGGTGACATGGAGGGATCGTGTGAAGAGGAGTTGAAAGAGTATGGATTAACTAACATGGATTCAGGTGAAAAGTACAGCAGAAGCAAGACAGAAGCAAGTGGAGTTGAAGCCCTATGTTCCACTAGGAACCCAAGTGAGCAATAATAATAATAGATAATGTCGAAAGATGTGAAGGCAAAAGTCATCAGAGAGACATCCATAGAATGATATTGAAAACAACCTGTTGGAGAAAGAAATTATTTGTGCCTGGAGCTAAATAGGAAGACATAAGATAGTAACTGCATTAGGAAGACGAATGAGTTTCGATATCGAATTTTTCAGAGAAGTGTAACAGCTGAAGTCGCTACATCATGTAGCACAAAAAAGCAGAGAACAGAGAGGAAATGAGAATTCAAAAAAAATAATGAGCGGAAAGGTACGGAAAAATGAATAGTAAAATAGAAAAACATTGAGGTTTAGTGGATATGGGAGATTACAAAGAGTGGATCCGTCTGAACCATTGGAGAAGATTTCAAACCATATCACTAATTTTCTAACCATCGGTTCTTGGAATTTCGAGGATTTCAACCAGAGTACACACCTACCTACTTTGCAGAAACTAGTTTAATAAATTATTCCCAGGTTTTAAACTGACTCCCAGTAATTCCTATAACCTAATCATATACCAGCTAACATTGTTTGACGCGGGAACTCATAACTCAATAGGCGCAACACATGACCAGATGACCTCAGTCGATGAAGCTTCACAACCTCATCGATCAACTTCGTTTCACCAATTTGCGTTCTACGCCAAAACGCGAAGTTCTGTGGACAAAGACAAATAGCTTTTTAATATCCTCTATATCAATTTCTGTATCTCACAGTCATGCACACCTTCCTGGCCTAGGGCGTGACTGGCATTCACGGGTTTGGTTCTCATGAGAGTCACTTCACCTACGGATGATTACTGATACTACGTTAGTCAATTTTATTTCCCCGTGAATATCACAGGAAAACTCCTCCCATTTCCGATAAAGTGGGAATAATAAGCGATTTACACTGGTCTAACCGGACTATCTATGATGCCCTGACATTACCTTGTATCTTAGTTAGTCCCGACAACATTTAGTGATCACTGTTCTTAAACATCCCTAAATTCATTCGACCTGGTCCTGCTGTCTTACTTAGTTTCCGGTTAGAGACGACCTTTGGAACCTCACTCCCAGATGTCGACATCCTATTCAGGCAATTGTTAAATGATGAGTAAATTGAGCCTGGCTGTAGGTTAGTTAAAATTAAGTAGGCTGTTAACAACTCCAACCATGATCACGGTTGTTCAGAAACAACAAGGGAATAAAATACTTTACACCACAAAAAACCATGAAAACAAGTAAAACACGTCTAAAGAGGACTAACAGTCTAGTTGAGGGATATTAGAGACTCAATACACCAACATACAGGCTTTATAGTGTATAAGTACAATATTATACACTTACGGTCTCAAAAGTCGCCACTAATTTATTATTATCAGAAATTGGTAATCCTTTTTACGTCTGCCAAACACACATATATTTTAGTCCTCATCACATTTCCACCGTTGTTCACAAGCTGACACATGATAGTCCGTCGACGAACATTATTTTAGCTGCCCGCCTTTGCAATAAACAATTGACAATTTTACTTGTGATTGGTCGGTTCGACGTTACGTTTAAAACCACAGTTGCGGCACTTTTAAAAAATATTGGTTAAATGAGGCATTTAATCTAACGTTGTATACTATTACGGCACAAGAAAAAAGTGTTGTTTTAGTGGATTTATCCTTTCAATTCAGTGAATTATTTCTATATCGAAGCCTAAGGTCTTGACAGGAGTTTCAAGAATGCATCCAGAGTTTCGTATATGTGCATTATACGTATTGCATAAAGTTGAGCCCTTTATAGAATATGTGAGCCCTCTTTAAGACAAGAACTGGCTGCCTGAATGGTTTTCCACTCTTGACCTCACCATAGATGTTCATAAGGAGGTGAACATGTCTCCGGTGATTCTAGTAAATGTTCTGCGAATCGCCCATAATGATCTGAAACTACGTGCATCCACCGCGCGATAGTGTGCTGTAGTTACTAAACTGTGACTAACAGTGATAACTAAATGCGATTGAGCTGAACTGATGAGAGTGTTACTCCCTCTTGTTCGAAGGAGCAGCTGCTTGCGTGTCGAATGTGCAACGATGCACATTTCGCTGCATTGATCAGGAGCATCCATTCTCTGGACCACTCTGAAAATGTGTTGAGGTCCTCTTGCAACGTGAAAGTATCACTGTTGCCATTTACCTATCTCCGAATTCCCAAGTAACCTGCGAATAGAACCATAAGGGAAACGGTGAGATAACTGACTGACACACATCTCAATGTAGTTGAGGATCGGACGATCAATTCATGGTTGTTTCCCCAAAACCAACTCCGCCATATTTTTCGTGGGAGTCATCAATACGGCGGTCAAAGTCTCATTGTTCGCTGTTCGGTGGAAGACAGAAAACTATCAGAAATATTATTGTGATTTATTGTCATAGCATTTATTCTTAGACCTTGTGTATAATAACCTTATTGTTGGATGCATGTTGGAGTAAGAATAAAGGATTCTCGAGTCACCAATCTGTTTTCTGGTTTTGCGAGTTGGTTACTGAACACTGTTTCTGAAAGTCTTTCAGGGACAGTGTGAAGTTCAGTGTCGTAAGACCTGGACATTGACAACACAAAATAAATAGGAGAGATCTCAGTACCGTGCCTTGAGGCACTCCGCTGCGTGCTTCTATCCAAAAGGAGAGTTTCAAGTTGATCCTAACCGTCTGCCTCCTATCTATGAGGAATTCCCTGAGCCAGTCGAGTAGTCTGTCTTTGATACCAAGACTTTCCAAATTCATGAGTAGTCTCTTGTGAGGAACTTTATCAAAAGCATTGCTGAAGTCTATGAAGACGACGTCAACGGGTCTTCTGATGTCCCTTGATTTGACCCAGCTTCCTTTGGCAGTGAGAGGATTTGACGGACACGAGAGGTTTTCTTGGAAGCCATGGACAACAAGTTGTTGTTTTGCAGATATGCCACGATACTTGATGATTCTTCCCAGTGCTTCACTAAAGTGCTAGTGAGACTAATAGGCCTGCAGTTTGAAGGGCTTTGTATTGATTCTACTTTGTGGATGCGGGATACTATGGTGTCTTTCAAGTCACGCGGTAACACACCATTTAGAAACGATAGCTTGAAAACCGTGGTCAATCGGCCGGCTATTTGAGCTGGCAACTTCTTGAGAACCCTAGGATAAAGATTATCAAGACCCATTGATTTCTCTGCAACTAATTCAGGTAGTTGAGCACGACATTTTGGTCGCCGTCGACAGAGTCTAACCTGTGTTTTTATGATGCACTCGGAGCTGATGCGTTGGGGAATGACGTTTCCTGTGAAAAGACATTGGAGAAATGGTCTGCCACTGCTTCTGCTTTTTCTTGACCCTCCTCGAATATGTCGTTGTCAATAGTAAGGTTTGGGACCTCATTGGATGTCTTACTCCTGAAGTTCATGTACGATGAAATTTTCCTAAATTATGCCTGTTCAATACTCGAAATTAGATTGTCATTAATATACTTAAAATGATTAAAATATTTACGCAGCAAATAATAATGTGTATTCTCATATAAACATATAAATTTACATGAGAATACATGCCACTTTTACAGGCACGATCAAGTATGATATAATATCAAATCGTAGATTGTCTACAAGTTAATAATGTTTCAACAGTTAAACATTTGATATATATAAATACACTCATTGTCTGAACGAGACCGTATTGTCAATGTAGTTGAAGATTGAACGATCGATTCATGGTTGCTTGCTCAAACCCAACTTCCCTATATTTTCGCAGAGGCATCAATACACCAGTCATCGTCTCATAGGTCGCTGTTCAGAAAGAAGATCAGAAACCCTCAGAAACCTTAGTTATTATGCCACTCACATGTTGGTGTTAGAATAAAGAATTCTCGAGTCGCCAATCGGTGTTTTGGTTTTTGCGTCCGTTAGTACTAAGCGTTCCTGAAAGGCTTCGAGGGATAGCGGAGGCCCGAAGTAGCAAGAGCTGGGTATTAGCGGTTTTGAGACGTCATTGACAGTTTCTGAGGGTTGTTGACAGTTTCTGACGGTTGGTGACAGTTTGTTACATTTTGGATAGTCCCCGTCAATTTTTCCGGGTGCTGGTCAAGACTACTTTGAACAAGCAATATCTGGAACTTTCTGGAATTTTGGTTACGTTCAGTGACGCCTGGGTCAAAGAAGGGATAGAGCGTTTTGGAAGCAAATAGGAAAGTAAGTCATGGTGACTTGTCTGTTAATTGTAACGATGTGTCTGATGTTAAGCATGACATGGTCGATGTTACCGTTTCGCCGTTCAGGGATAGTAGGAACATAAAAATCCCTAAATTTGAACCACGGTGTTTCAACGGAATCCCAGCTGATTATTTACAGTTTGTATAGGAGTTTGAGATCATGTTGAGTAGTTTTCTACTAAATGATGAAATGAAGTTAATGTATTTTATGAGGTATTGCACTGGAGTTGCTTCAAGAGCTATACGGTGCTGTAAGATAATGCCCCCTGAAGAAGGATACTCTGAGGCTATGAGTATACTACGGCAAGGATTCGGAAGAACTTCGATGATTGTAGGGAAATTATTCGAGGCTGTTAAGGGTAATGGTAGTCAATTAAAAGATGATTCCAAGGCACTCACTGAGTTTTCGGATAATCTGTTGACTTACAAGAACGCATTGATTTTGATGAATTGCATGAGTGACCTCAACTCGTGCTCAGTCCTAGAAGTAATAGCGAGACGCCTACCTACTCGACTGCAAAGGAAGTGGGTGAAGATAAGCTCCCGTATGGAGGATGAGGGTATCGAGCCAAAGTTTGATGATATCCTGAAACTAGTAAAAGATAGAGTGTATCAATCTATGAGCAAGTTCGCCAGTCTATTACATCTCACCCCTAGAATAGAGCAGTCTCAGGGAAAAACGCAATCATTGAGGACGAAAGGGCCTCAGAGAGGTGGATTTCGAGAAGGCTCCATGATGTCTAGTAGTGCATATAGACCTAGTGAGTGTAACAGGTTTCGTAGTACATCCTCAACAGATAAGTAACAAGATGCAAGACAGACACGGTTGTGTTTTACACGTTTGCAAGAGGTGCATACAAAGGTGAACTGTGAATCAGTGACCAAGTTTGGTGATAAGCTAAATGTGAAATCAAGGTCTGACTCCGAATTGTGTGACGATAACGGTGTGGTCAAGAAGCCTGTAGTTGCAATTAGTAAGCCATTGTTGAATAGTATGCCAGAGAAGAGAGTTACAGTTTCAGAGTCCAGTTCTGACCCCATAAGTTTACAAGGTATTACTAGTCAGAGTGAAGGTAAAAAACATCTAAAGATTTGTGAGGAGGAACCAAAATTGTCTGCTTCTGTTATTAAAGAGTTTGAAAATGGTGAAGTTGACGGCAAAGTGAATATTCGTGATAATGATCATGATAGTGCACATTTGTCTTTGGTTGATCATGATGAAACGAGGGATATGCCCACCACTGCTAAGTTGAACAAAGGTTCTGCACAACTACAACGTGAAGTAGGATTGAATGCAGTTGCAGAAGGTATGCATACTTGTGAGACCGTCAGTGTAATTGATCAGCGTGTAGCCCACCTATCATCAGATGATAGTGCTAAACCCGAACTAGTAGTGAAAGGCAGCGGTGGTGGTAATCTTGCAGTTAGACAACTATCTGAAAGCCGAACAAGAACAGCTTCTGATCCACCGCTAAGTTCATCAACTGGTATCAATCAGTCGTCGTTGGTGTTACCACCCACAATGAAAATGACGCCCATCAACTCAAGTATCTTGTGCAATGACTATGATAGTATTGGTGCAATTGCAAAGACGAAAGATATTGCTCAGTTTAGTGAGGATAAGCCAAGTGTAAATGAGAGAGTAATTGTTAAATTGACTTGCACGAATAAAATCATTTCTAGTTTCAAGTTACTATTTGAATGCTATTATCTTTGGTGTAAATTACTCTGTTTCTATACTTGGTTGATGAGATATGTCGTGTGTTTGTTGGTCATCTATGTTCTACGATACAATGACATGGGCGTGTTGCCGTTCACATTTGAGGATATAGCTGATAGAAGGAAGTTAGCAAATGAACTCTGCGACGATTTTCCAACTTAGAGCGTCAACCTGAGAAGGGTTGTAGGCGTACTGCTGTAAGTCCTACAGTTCTTCAAAGGGTAGCGCATCAATGAGCAGTCCAATGTGCTTGGTGTATGATCTTGTACATATGTTCATATTGTATATACTGAATTGATATCATCTGTCATCTAGCTGTTGGTAATTCTGTTTGTGTCCGGACGACTTCCACTTGAATCATCAACCTGAGATGGAATGTAGGCGTACTGGTGTAAGTCCTACAGTTCTTCAAGGGTAGTTTGTCGTGTCAGAATCCACAACATTTGATGTGTTGATTGTACATATGTTTGTGTTAAATAGTTGTGTGAGTTCCAATTGATGTAATTGTTGGTTAATCTTGTTTGTGTCTGGACATTCCACAACTTACAATCGTCAACCTGTGAAGGGTTGCAGGCGTACTGGTGTAAGTCCTCCAATTCTTCAAAATAATTCCACCAAGACATGATCCGCGAGGTTATTTGTACTGTTTGTGTATACGTGTGGTGTGTCTTCGCAATTTGTGATTTTGGATTCATTGTGTTTACTCGTTGTTTTCGTGCCTTGTTTTTATTGCATAATTTTGTTAAAATTTTCGTCGCGATTACTTCTGAAGTTGTTTCTTGTCTTCTACATCCATGAATGAATTGAATGATGTTAGAGACAGCAGATGGGTCGTATACGCCGGGGAGGCTAGGCTAGTGCTGAGAATGAAACGCACACGGAGATAATTGTTAGCTGCGGTCCGACACGCCGGGGAGAAAGAGTGTAAACGACTGAGGCTCGCATGCGTCACCGCTACTAGAACTGAGGCAGAATGAGTGACAAGCGATTTCAGTGATAATTGATAGTGAATAGAAAAGAGGATGCTTGAAGAGTATCATGAGGTGCTGCTATGGTCACTTTGCATTCTGCAAGAGTCATTCTAGCAAATGGCGATTGTGTTGCAAGATGTCAAGAGGAGGTCTCTGTCTGGAGGCGCAGGTCATCATTGATGTATGAGATTGTGCTGTGGGTATGCTTGTGGTGTGTTGGCTTTTCTGTTTGTTTTCCATTTCACCTCTGTCCGTGTGATCCAGGTTCTCGCAATGGCATCCAAGTCAACGTGCATTGATCGTGAAGGAAAAAAGGGTTGGATCCCTCTTTTGCCGGGGAGTGTCAATGGAGTTGAAGATAGAACGATCAATTCTTGGTTGTTTGCTCAAAATCAACTTCCTTAATTTTCGCGGAGGCATCAATACGACAGTCATCGTCTCATCGGTCGCTGTTCAGAAAGAAGATTGAAACATCGTCAGAAGTAATACAGAGATTTATTATTGTAATATTTGTTTTCAGACCTTAGTTTACTTAGTTCGCTTATTCCTTTTATATGTTGGTGTAACAATACAGAAATATCAAACGGCAGATCGGTGTTTTGGTTTTTGCGTCCGTTATAACTAAGCGTTTCTGAGAAATCTTCTAAGAACAGCGTGGGCCCGAGCGTAGCGAGAGCTGGGCATTAACGGTTTATGAGACTTGGCTGACATTTGTCTTTGGTTGATCATGATGAAACGAGGGATATGCCCACCACTGCTAAGTTGAACAAAGGTTCTGCACAACTACAACGTGAAGTAGGATTGAATGCAGTTGCAGAAGGTATGCATACTTGTGAGACCGTCAGTGTAATTGATCAGCGTGTAGCCCACCTATCATCAGATGATAGTGCTAAACCCGAACTAGTAGTGAAAGGCAGCGGTGGTGGTAATCTTGCAGTTAGACAACTATCTGAAAGCCGAACAAGAACAGCTTCTGATCCACCGCTAAGTTCATCAACTGGTATCAATCAGTCGTCGTTGGTGTTACCACCCACAATGAAAATGACGCCCATCAACTCAAGTATCTTGTGCAATGACTATGATAGTATTGGTGCAATTGCAAAGACGAAAGATATTGCTCAGTTTAGTGAGGATAAGCCAAGTGTAAATGAGAGAGTAATTGTTAAATTGACTTGCACGAATAAAATCATTTCTAGTTTCAAGTTACTATTTGAATGCTATTATCTTTGGTGTAAATTACTCTGTTTCTATACTTGGTTGATGAGATATGTCGTGTGTTTGTTGGTCATCTATGTTCTACGATACAATGACATGGGCGTGTTGCCGTTCACATTTGAGGATATAGCTGATAGAAGGAAGTTAGCAAATGAACTCTGCGACGATTTTCCAACTTAGAGCGTCAACCTGAGAAGGGTTGTAGGCGTACTGCTGTAAGTCCTACAGTTCTTCAAAGGGTAGCGCATCAATGAGCAGTCCAATGTGCTTGGTGTATGATCTTGTACATATGTTCATATTGTATATACTGAATTGATATCATCTGTCATCTAGCTGTTGGTAATTCTGTTTGTGTCCGGACGACTTCCACTTGAATCATCAACCTGAGATGGAATGTAGGCGTACTGGTGTAAGTCCTACAGTTCTTCAAGGGTAGTTTGTCGTGTCAGAATCCACAACATTTGATGTGTTGATTGTACATATGTTTGTGTTAAATAGTTGTGTGAGTTCCAATTGATGTAATTGTTGGTTAATCTTGTTTGTGTCTGGACATTCCACAACTTACAATCGTCAACCTGTGAAGGGTTGCAGGCGTACTGGTGTAAGTCCTCCAATTCTTCAAAATAATTCCACCAAGACATGATCCGCGAGGTTATTTGTACTGTTTGTGTATACGTGTGGTGTGTCTTCGCAATTTGTGATTTTGGATTCATTGTGTTTACTCGTTGTTTTCGTGCCTTGTTTTTATTGCATAATTTTGTTAAAATTTTCGTCGCGATTACTTCTGAAGTTGTTTCTTGTCTTCTACATCCATGAATGAATTGAATGATGTTAGAGACAGCAGATGGGTCGTATACGCCGGGGAGGCTAGGCTAGTGCTGAGAATGAAACGCACACGGAGATAATTGTTAGCTGCGGTCCGACACGCCGGGGAGAAAGAGTGTAAACGACTGAGGCTCGCATGCGTCACCGCTACTAGAACTGAGGCAGAATGAGTGACAAGCGATTTCAGTGATAATTGATAGTGAATAGAAAAGAGGATGCTTGAAGAGTATCATGAGGTGCTGCTATGGTCACTTTGCATTCTGCAAGAGTCATTCTAGCAAATGGCGATTGTGTTGCAAGATGTCAAGAGGAGGTCTCTGTCTGGAGGCGCAGGTCATCATTGATGTATGAGATTGTGCTGTGGGTATGCTTGTGGTGTGTTGGCTTTTCTGTTTGTTTTCCATTTCACCTCTGTCCGTGTGACCCAGGTTCTCGCAATGGCATCCAAGTCAACGTGCATTGATCGTGAAGGAAAAAAGGGTTGGATCCCTCTTTTGCCGGGGAGTGTCAATGGAGTTGAAGATAGAACGATCAATTCTTGGTTGTTTGCTCAAAATCAACTTCCTTAATTTTCGCGGAGGCATCAATACGACAGTCATCGTCTCATCGGTCGCTGTTCAGAAAGAAGATTGAAACATCGTCAGAAGTAATACAGAGATTTATTATTGTAATATTTGTTTTCAGACCTTAGTTACTTAGTTCGCTT